CGGAAGAATCACCAAGAGCAGAATGTGTGATGTCCGATTAATGGAGATCAGGGTAAGTGCACGGGATGAGCGATTCCGGTCGAAGAAAAGACAGCCGTCGAGGAGAAGAGAGAGAGAGTCGGGACAGTACAGCTTCCATCCATCCGGCGCATGGACTGCAGGCGCGGAAAGGCCCCCCAGCGTGCTCGGTTCGGAAGGCTGGAAATACTCATGTGGATGAGCGAGAGGACGAGCGGCTTGAGACGCATGGCTTGGTCGTCTGTGCAGTCGATCATCTCGGAGTTACTTATAACTCCCCATCCAATTTTGGGTTGTTGTTGTTGTTGTTGTTGGCTGTGTCGGATTGTTGTGAGTTGGACCCCGAGTAGTGGTCCCTTCGGAGTCATAACTTCCACCGACGGCTTGTAGATCTGATCAACCTGTGGAGTGATCTTTCTCAAAAAAAAAAACAAGGTGCTCGGGTTGGGGTCCGTCGACGGTGTGCTCTTCAGCTACTACATCCTCTCTGCACGCCACTCGAAAGACGACGATGATGATGGATTGATAAGTTGACTTTTCCGAAACCATAACTTTTCGACGACGAGGGACATCTACCCCACCAACCAAATCCTGTATAATTCAAATCCGACAATCCAACAAAGTCTGTGTGGGAGCTACAACGAAAGACAGCTGTTAATGCCCGAATAGTTCTGGATCTAACGGGCTATATAGTCTGTTTCTCTATTGCGAGTGTAAATATTTAAACAAAGGGCGTTTGTGATGAGAGGTCATCGAATAAAGCTGAGGGACAAGTAAACAGCTGTTTGATAAGGTGACTGATAAGGGTGACTCGACGTCATTCACTCACCGAATCACCGAAGAGTCTTCACTATCGGGAGTTGTTGCGCATTGGTCAAGGGGGTGCACAACACTTAGGAACAAGCCTGCAGAAAGAAGCGCAAGAGGGCTGGAAGATGCTACGAAGCGATGCAACCCTCATCCTAATTATTAGGTAGGTACTCAGGCTGGTCCAATCAGCGTCGCTATATTGTAACTCCCAAAAATCCTTGAAGCTGTCTAGGCACTCAAAGTTGCAATGAGATGGACCCTTATAAGAGCAACGATGTGGTCGGACTATGTACAGCTTCCTTATTGTATGTACATATGATTGAAAAAAGACAGCCCACAAAGGGCGCGACATTGGAGCCTTGTTATAAAGGCTTGTGCATGCATCACTATCAATTCTATGAATCACTCCGAATCAATCACTACAAGTTTGTGTATACTTTAATAGCTGCAAGCTACGCGTCCAAATGCCTCGATGGAACAAATAAAAAATAAGGTGGAATGGGGAGGGAAAACTAGATCGAGACCATGCGATGGCCAGCCGCAATCAAGGAATAATTAACTAGGTCCAAGAAGAATCACATTAAAAGGTTGACACGACTGGAATCTGATTCCAGATGAATGTCTGATCAGTTTGGAGATTTAATTGGGTCTACATATAATAACAGGAAATTAAGAGCCGATGAAGGGTAGAAGGCCGGACTGACTTATATTGTATAAGTGTTCACCAACCTCCCAGAGGTCCGCCGAACGCGGCGTGGAAAGCGCCCAGGACGGTGTGGTCGGTCGGCTGTCTGCCGTCTCGGAACGGGCTCCACAAGATTTGGACCGATGGATCCAGCGACGATCTATGTATGGAGAGAGAGAGGAAGCAGACGTAAGGATAAAACACGCTCATGACAGAGAAGAGGGTTTTTTTTTTTTTTTTTGATCGGCAATGCTTGCTTGGTCATGGCTTCAATCGGAGCACTATTTAAAGGAGCCGCCGAAAACACCTGCTCTCGTAATTTCATCCACCACCGTTCAAAAAAAAAAGAAACATCGTTGCGGAAACTATGTAAGTCAGTCGGAGACTTCTTCTAATAGAGTCGGAGATCTGGAGAGAGAGAGTATTTGGACTTGCCAGTGCAGACGCCCATTAAACCAACGAATATGCCAGCAATCAAGAATCGCATCTTGGGGTACACGAGTTTCGATCGGGAATAGAAAAGGTATAAATCAAGCCAATGGGGTGACCGGATGCAAGCTCAAGGAGGAGGGGGGGTAAATTGATGGACGGCTGTCGAGCGCTAGAAACGTGAGATGGAGGGCGGCAAACGACAAACAAGAACTGGACAAGTATACGGAAAAGGCAAGGGGGGGGGGGGGGGATGAGTCGAAACCCATACGGTTGACCGTCAGCTGCTTTATACATGAACACGCGACTATTACCGCTTTCATCGCCCATCATGTTGTCGAGCCGTGATGGGCAGGCCGGGAGGCTTATAATATGTTTCCAATCCAATCAGGATTCTCATCGTCTCGCTGCTCCAGCTTCATCTCATCGGATTCTCCCCCCCCCCCCAAAAAAAAAAAAAAAAACTGTTCTTACAAGGCGGGTTGAGGGGGCACAAGACCATCGGTACTCCCTGGCTTCCATCTTCGGGGGTCAAATTAGCGCGCTACGACCGAGCATGTAGGAGATCCGCACCTTCCACTGCACTCAGCTCAAATACATAGCCCTGCATGCGTCCCGGACTTCACTCGTTCATGCTGGTGTCAAATTTGATTGACCATATAAGGCTGGTTTTTTGCGCCAAGAAAGTATTTAGGTTTTTTTTCTGATGAATCGGTTTTGATTTTATTATAAGTGCAGCTGCTGTAGCTTGATGACTTCATAACTATTATTTTATGTGTCAACGAGGGCATAGCCCCCATTTTTGGGGTCAGAGGGGGGTTTTAAATGAAAGGGAGAACAGGATTGGATTAATTAGGATACTTGAGAGATTTCCTGGTGATAAAAGGCACATCAATTAGCAGAATGATGATAAAGATGGCCTCAAAAAGATCAGTGTAATATGTGAAACATAATTTGAAACAGTATTGGATTCTTTCATGATCAAGGCCTTTGAAGATATTGAAGAACCTTGTATAAACATTAACATTGCAAAAAGAAATTCCAATTCCAATAGGGGGGTTCAAGATTGAACTTTAAGGCCATTTTTAAGGTGTTTCTGATCATGAATGTACAATTTTTTTGTGATGTACAGAAGGTTCAGAAATTAATAAATTGGAAAAACTCAAAGAAATTCATAAAATGTTGCTCAAAAACACCATAAAAATCACTTGAAGTTCAATTGTGAACCCCTCTAATGTAAGATACATTCATAGTAATAAAATAGGCCAAACAATCAGAATATTAATTCTGCCCCTGGTCAGTGGAAAGTGGCATTTCCTCCTAGATCTCAGTCCTCCATCCAATGTATGAATGAAGCTGTGTATGTAAGCATTTGCAATACTATCATTAGCTCTTTGTTAGGTTTTTTTGTATAGCTCTATTGTATTGATGTGTACTTCTCCGTATAGTTGATCTGTATTTTCAACTAAGTGAAATCATAAGGAGGGTATTCCAAAATTCCAGTTCTCAATAATTGAGCCCCATTTGGACATCCTGTTATACATCATAAATTGCCCCGCACCGGGGGTCACACATTATAAATTCAATGATTTATGACATATAACGGGCTGTCCAAATGGGGCCTGAAAAATTTACCTTCAAGAAAAAATATGCCAAACTTCAAGAAAAAATATAACAAACTGGAAGAAGCCAAAATGTGGGTTACTCCCAATGTAGCTTGTCTTATAACTACAACAAAAAATAAAGTAACAATTTATGCAAAGTTACTGTGAAATGTGCACATTGTCAGCATTGGATTTTCTTGAATCAAATTTTGAGTGATCTCTGAGGAAGAAACCAAGTTTAAGCATTGATTCTGAATTAAAAAACTCAAGTATTCAATTGAAACAATTACCTTGATTAGAATTTTCTATACTTCCCAATTTTGACCAAGGTATTACTGGAATTTTTGAAAAACTGAACAGGTGTTGTAAACAATTATTTTGCATCAGGTCACACTTGCCATGTTTTGTCCTTGAATCAGAGAAGATATACAGGGTTAGAATATAAATTAAGGGGGAGCAATTCTTTTGAAATGATCCATGCTATTTTCAGGAATGAATTCAAATGTAGATTTTAATCCTATCTCAAAATAAAATTTTGTCTATGCTTCTTTGGTCACAGCAGATTTATTAATGACAAATGTAAATGTGGCATGATGGAAGCAAAAATTGCATCCAGATTTAAATCCAAACAATTTACAATGAGGAGTTGGAATTCAGTCTTTGATGAAGAAATCAAACTCAAAAGCTTCATGAGAATGTCATACAAATCAGAAATCTGGATTGAGGATTGATGCCAAGGTTGGAGATTCTGACACTCTGTTTGGCTATCTGAGGCTCATGTAGATTGGAAAATATGTTATACAGATGGTAATTTGAAATTTTACTGTCATTCAATCAGCATTTGATACATTAGCAAAACTTTCTTCAATTTCAGAACTGAAAAAAATGTTTTACTTTATATGGCAGTTTTTGATCCCCTTGGACTATAAGCTAAAAGCAAGCTGAGGAAAATTTCAATGTGAAAGGGAATATGCAGATTTTACATTGCATGGTACTTCAAATTTGAATGAGTTCAGTCAGTCTTACTTGCAGATTTTACCACCTCTTTCAGTTTCTTCAAAGTTTTCCAGATTTTACCACCTCTTTCAGTTTCTTCAAAGTTTTCTGATGCTTTTACTATTGTTTGCTACAATTATTTTCAATATCATTTGAATTGATTCATGATGATGATGTTATTTGATGTTATTGGCTTGTTTAAGAATGTTTTGATGTTATTTGATGTTATTGGCTTATTTAAACAAAAAGGATGATTTTCAGAAAAAAGTCCCTTTTTGAGTAGGAATTGACAGTAATCTGAATCAGGGAGACTGAGTTGTGATTGGTTGTAGGCCAAGAGCATGCTTGATGATAGCTCAGCAAACCGGAGGTTCATCAAATTTGGTGAGGCTCATCGAGGTTGGAATGAATTCAGATTGGATCAAAGCAATCAATTAAAGCGATCTCAAAGCGATGGCCTGGCCGCCTGTGTGACGATCAGCCCTTCACTTGCTGGGTGAATGGCCAGTTCACTCTCCAACATCGACGCCGGCGTTAGAAGCCGCATGAGAATTCAATACAAAGCTGAATTGAGGGTCGACGCCGAGGTTAGAAAGCCTGACGGTTTGTTTGGCCCTCTGAGGCTATTCCTTTAGTTATATGTAGATGCTAGAATGATTTTGGCCACAATTTTTACTAGAAATTGCAGCCTATGATACAGCTGTTGTGCAAATGATTGCGCTTTTCCACGATTTTTTTTTTTTTTTTTCCGCACCAATTTTTTTTTTCCCCCGAACCCAACATTTCCCCGGCGCACGGACTTAGGTCTCCCCCGTCTGAGCGAGCCACTCACTGGCCTTGCCACCCCCGTCGCATAGGCCAAGCCACAACATATTTCAGTAACAAACCCACTCGATCACTTGGGCTACCCAATCAACCTGGTCTGTAAGCATGCTCTAAAGATAATATTTGATGTTGCACTTTAGCTAACAAAAACTTGCATTTAATTTTATCAGGTCCCGGTCCCATGGCAAAACAAAAGTACTCGGCCGATTTCAAATATGCGGTCGTTAGAGCGGCAAAGAGAGGAAAAACGTTGGACGAGATCAATACAATGTTGGCCAGTACAGTCAGCAAAGATTCCCTGCGTCGATGGACAGACCTGTACGAGAGAACCCGAGTGGTTGTGTGCGATCCATCTACTTACCAAACCCAAGGCCGGCCATTCGAATTGGAGCCTGAAGATCTAGAATACATCCGACAAATGGTCACCGAGAAACCAACAGCGTATCTTGACGAAATCCAGAATGCTTTGATTGAAGAGAAAGGAGTCTCTGTCAGCTTGAAGACGATCTCAAAAACCCTCCACGAACGATTGAAAATGTCTAAGAAGACCATCACGACTGTTAATCGACGTCAAGATCCAGAGGCGAGAGCACATTACCTTGCGCGAGTCAGCTGTGTACCGACCTCTTGTCTTGTATTCACAGGCAAGTTCTTATTTTATCTGATATCTGACCCCAAATAACTCATCGTTGATATGAATCTTTTGACAGATGAATCAGGGGTCTCGCTCGAGGTGGTTTCAAGGACACAAGGCTGGGCACCGGTAGGTCAAAGAACGCCTCGGGTTCCGCGTGAGAGGAGTACACATGGATACAATATCATCCCGGCGATCTCATCGACTGGGTTGGTTGCACATATGGTCCAGGAAGAATCAGTCATTTGATCTGACTTTGAATTTTTCCTTGAGCATATCCTAGTGAGTGTGGATCTATTTAGTTTTTCTTTTTTTTGTTTTACTGACTCCATTTGTTTGTCCCAGTTGCCATCTATGAACCCTTTTCCAGGTCCGCGAAGCGTGCTTGTGATGGACAACGCGCAAATCCATCACTATGGCCGGATTGAAGAGATTGTGGAGGCTCGAGGTTGCCTCTTGCTACATCTCCCAGCATACTCTCCCGACTTGAACCCAATCGAGAAAGGTTTTTCAGTATACAAGTCGGCTCTCCGACGGAACGAAGATCTGCTTACCGGCAGCGAGGAAGATTATGAAGTCATTGAAAGTTTTATTAGCTTTGTGTTTACTGATGTCTTGACACAAAAACTATTTATTGGTTGCGGTTATCTTTGAGACATATAACATTGTAGATAAAACTTGTGTAGAAGTCAGTCAATGGAATCTTTTCATATTTTTGATAAGTATTTTGCTTGGATGTTGAGACCGGCTCTGGGTGCTGAGACTTCAGTAAGCACAGAGGTCTGAATTGATTGTTTGTCTGTTCTGGTGCACAACCGAGATTAGTTTGTCTGAAATACTTGCAGACAAAGAGACAGCTTGTGGGTCCCATATTCATTTCAAGAAGTCATCGAGGAAACTATTTCAGGAGGTTAGAGACCACAGCGATTGACAAAGAAACAATTTTGAGAGAGCCGAGAAAAATAAACTATTTCAGGAGGTTAGAGACCACAGTGATTGACATTGAAGAAAATATTTGAAGAGAGTAGAGAAATATCAATGGTTCCGGATATCAGGAAAAAACAAAAAGAAGATTTCATAGTGCTGAGTTTAACAGGAAGAAAAAAAGATGTGTTTTGTTGAGAGACATTGACATGGAAAAGCATCGATGGACCGAGTATATTGTAGTGCTGAGTTTATCAGGAGTCAAACACGATGTGATTTCATAAGAAAAGAGAGAAAAAGAAACAATGGACTGAGCAAAAGCGACCAGTGATCGACTTGTGAGACTACTTGTTGAGGCGGCGCTTTTTAAGAGTGCGTCCGTACTTTTTGGTGTTAGAGACGAGCAATCTCGCTTTGCTCTTTTTCACACCAAACACTTCGAGCTCTTCAGGTTTGATGTTTTCAAATTCTTGATAATGAGTGATACCGTAATCGACCAGCGCCTTCTGTACGGATTCACAATTATGATCGATGTGGCAGAATGACAAGTAATCATTGATATCCACAGTGTCGTCTGAAGCCGGCGGCGAAGAAACAGGGCCGGTGTTCATAGTCCCTGCAGCCAAGTGAGAATTGTGAGCGAGAAACGGGTTGGGCTGCCATCCTGGTGGATGCTCGTGTCGCATCCCACCGTATGGGACATAGAAGTTTGGGTTTGGAGGGCCCCATCCCCAAGGGTTGCCTGACGGCCAACTCATCGACGGTGGATAGGCCCCCATTCCCATTTGAATCGGCGACAAGTTGATGTGGTTTGTAGAACCCGATGCAGATGCAGTACCAGCTGGGCTTCTGTTGCTGCCGGGAGTTCTAGGAACACTAGCCAAATCTTCAGTCGTCCTAGCGCGGACATCGATCGCATTATCTCCCTCTTCTTCGGCACCTGCAGTGATTCCTTTGAATTCGGCTTTCGTCTGGAATCGGAAGGCCAGAGATTTTGGCGGATTGTCTACCGTGACTTCGTTGTTGGTAACCTGAGATACGAGGAACCTGATCAGTCCCAAAATGACTTGTGAAAGCAAGAAAACAAAAGAAAACAATGCAACTCACCATCGCTCTGGCCCAGAGGCTAATTCGATCCGGACTGAGCGCAATGAACCGCTTCGAATCTTTGGGGTCAATCATAACTGGAAGCTCCATTGACCCCGTCAATTGCTCACTCGGCATATGAGTCGCCCTTAGCAACCACATATTCTCGATCACCTGTCTGTTGAAACTTGCACCAGCCGTCGGCTCCGCTTGCGCAGATTGGTCGTCGGTGTTCTCCTTGTCCTGCTCAGATAATTGTTTTAAAGCTTCATTGCGCTGATGACCATTGTAAAAAGCAGATTAGTTAAACAGGAGCCCCTCATATGATACAAATTATGTCCAAGAAAGAAGAGCAATACATACCTCGGCAATTGTCTTGGGGTCATTTTGGACCAAGTAGATCTTTGCTTCCCCCTTCGCCTCGGCCACCTCAACAAACCTCGTGAATATTTTGGAGTTGTCCAACAGAGTTTGGTTCTTCTCGATGAATTGTCCACCGTAAGGGATAATCACATACCAGCAGAGGTTCTTCTCCCTCTCTTGCTTCTCCGCATGTCCAAACACCTGATCCGGTTCGAGTGCACGGAGGACTTCAAGCACGGCCTCTTTGAAAACTGCAAGGCTAGTATGTGCAGAGTTCCAAGTTAGCGATAGCTTATTCGGTTTGGAAATTAATCGCGCATATTTATCGGGGGTATCAGCCGTCACTGCCTTTCGCTTATTTCCTCCGCGGGTGTTAGTAGGCTTTGACTTGTTCTTTTTCAACGTTACGAAGAGTTTATATTCAATAGAAACCTTGAAATCTTCCCCATCATTGTCGTTGTCGGCTTCGTCCTTGGGATCGATAACTTGTTGCTGAGTGTTTGACGACGTGTTGGCAACTGATGCAGAACGCCTTTCTGAACTGAGGGAGTCACCACCTGGTAACTGATTGTCCAACCAATTGCTTACTTGTTCGAGGATTTGGAGGCCGTCAAGATAGTCGGAATAGTCTGCGAGTACAATCAAACAACAGCAAAAATTATCAGATCATCATAAAAAAAGAAGTGAAGAATATGAAAATAAGAAAAATCTGTACGTACCTGCTGGTTCCATAGCATGTGGCGATGAATGGAAAACGGTTGGTTCAGGGCGGATGGTGGTGGCAGGCAAACAAACCTGTGTCTGTGGTACTACGTATGACGGGGGAGACCTAAGTCCGTGCGCCGGGGAAATGTTGGGTTCGGGGGAAAAAAAAAAATCGTGGAAAAGCGCAATCATTTGCACAACAGCTGTATGAAGGAAATGGGAAAATCCTCAAGGGTTTGATCTATGCATAGACCAATGTATTGTCAATTTTCAAGAATCATATTGGAGTAGTATTTTCCAAAAAACCTTCCAAACTATCTAAGACTGATTTATAACAAACAACCCAAAAATCTTTCAAGGCAAGTTTTTTTTTTTTTTTCAAAAAAAAGGGAAATTAACAACTCCAAAGTAGAAAAAAAAAGGAAGTCAAGAGGAAAACAGAAAAAAAAGTGGTGTGAGTTGTTCCTAGGGTTGTTGGTGCCATGTTTGAAAAATTGCACGCCCAGGGGCGCCTTCCAAGCCTTCTTAAGGGGTGCGCCTTTGGCTGGCGCAGGGGCGGTGCGCCAAGGTGCCTTTTTTCCTTAATTGACAACATCATAACTCAAAATAGTAAGAAAACAAGACAAAAAAAACATTGATTGATACGTGCAGGCTAAAAGAAGGAAGAATGATGAGATTTATTAAGAAAACCAAAGTTCAGTGGGGTCCCAGCTGGTACCAGCAACCAGTTTGTTTTGGGTGTCTTCAATCTTGACCATCCAGAATCTGGAATTTGGATGCCACAATACATATTCCAAAATTGGAAATGATGGATCTGACAGCCAGTCAGTCCACCAGTCCAATGCCTGGCTCTCTCAGGGCCCACCATTGTGCAGGGAGATCCGCTGGACTCTCCGGGCCCTCCCTGCAGAGGTTAGGGTTAGAGGTGCGCACCACCCCACCTTTTTGGGAAAAAGTGTGCGCACTTTGGCGTACACCAGGTGGTGGCGCTAACAACCCTAGTTGTTCCCCATTGTTAAAGTGGAAGAGTACCACCAAGAGTGTATGAATATATTACTTCATGCTATGTGTTCACATGACAAATCAAAGTGTGATTTTGTGAGGCTACATACATAGTGTGATTCAGAGAAGTCAATATGCACAACAAAGAATGCATGTTCAGCTCCCATTATTCATTATAAGGTTAGATGTGGCTAGTAGAAAGCCATTTTTGAAAATCTCCATGCATGAGAGTGACTTGCAAAATGTTTTTCAAGTCACTTGCACTCAGCTGTGAAGCCCCCTAATAGATGAAGATTCAAGTTCAGCTGATGCCATCAAGATGATTTGACCGTCTGATTTTGACTATGCAGGGTACATGTTTTCCAAAGGCACAGCAGCGACTGAGGCTCTGGAGTGAGTGAATAGATGGAACAGTGGCCATCCAACTGGCAATTGTTTATCTAAGCAGTGTTAAGGCAAAGTGCCAGTAAATCTGCACTGGAAAGTTTTGGAAAGACTTGCATTGAAAATCTGTGATTTTGGTTGTGTGTTTATATAGGGAATAGGGTTGAGTGCATTTGCATCAAGGTTGTCAACCTGGAAAGCAATATGCTTTCTCCTGCATGATGTCCAGGTTGGGATGGACCACTACCATATGTAGCAACCACAAACATGTGTTTTCTCATCACTGGACTCAACTTGAGTAAGGGCCAGTACCGTGAGGTCCAATTTTGAAAATTAGGCATTTTTTCTGCCTTCTACATAAAATTTCACACAAAGTGGAGGCATCTATGTAACATTGAAATTCTTCACTTGTAGACTAAAAAGTGGCTTCAGGTGATGGTGAACTTTGATGACACAAAAATTTGAGTAAGATCAAAATTCCAAAAAAACTGAATTTTCCTGCCCCATATGTAAGTCTCACACTTTATGTATTCCTCTCCCAATTAATGAATCAATATTCATGAGGAAGCTCCATCCCTTTGTGTGATGTATGTACATAGCATTGGAGAACAACTCATGACTTGGGAGCAGAAAATGGATACAAGAAAATGAAACACAGAAGGAAAACTATTCATTAAAACTAAAACTGTATTATATCCAAGGAGAAAAAGATTTTTTTTTATAAAATTGAATGGAAGGTGTAGACATTGTAGAGTCAACGTGAATCTCAGGAAAATTGATAAGTGTTTTTGGGAGAAATTAATATGTCCACTGGGTTGATATTGAGCTAGCTTGAGGGAGTTGGAATTCTCCAACAAATTTGAATACGTAGATGGGCCAGATCTGGTTTGGAAGGATGATGTTGAAAGGGACCGCTACAACGCTCACGAGTCAGCGACGGAGCGGCCAGAGCCGAGCGGGTCGTGCTCGAGAATGTCGCTGAGATAGCCGGAAGAGAGGAGTGGGTCGCCGTCGAGATTGATGTTCTGATTGTGGAAGCAGGGGTGCTCGCAGTCCCCAACGGCCGTCTCAGCGCTACTGGCCGTGCTCTCTGTCTGGTGCTTGTCCCTGCGGACTGGCATTCGCACCGAGCCGTCTACAATAACGCCTCGCTCGTCTTCGACAGCGACTTGCTGGCCTGAAATGGTCTCTGTGCCATCAAAGTCCCAGCTCCTAGTCGTCTTCCACTTCGCCTCCTCCCTCTCGTCGTCATTCTGAGGACAGTCCGGCAGGTTTTCGGGCTCGATCCCAAAACTCTTCGGATCCTCCTCTTCCTTCTTGCCAGCAGGGACCGCTTCGAGAGGACCGGAAGGAGCTGAAGCATCGGACTTGAATGGAGGCTGCGAATCATCGATCTCCAGTTTGATACTATCGGACTTGCTGGAGGGCTTGTTTCCGATGAAGGCCTTAAGTTCTAACGGACGACTGTCCGACTCGGAAGAAAAGGTCGGGGTGGTAGGGGTTGCATGCCACGCTGGCTGTGGGACGGCCTTCGAAAGCGGTTGAACAGGTGAATGTGTGACTTTGGGCCTCGGGGCGTATGGGGTTGAAGCTGGGGGCTCTTGTTTCACAGACAACATTGGGGGAAAGGAGTGGGTGTCTAGTGGCGACGCCGGCCGACTGGGCTGTTTCTGGGGCCGAGTTTGCGGCCAAGTAAAATCATCAAGGGGGAGCGGAGAAAGGAGCCTGTGCGGTCGCAAGTCATCACTAGAAGCATCGGGCAAATTGCCGTCCGCAGAATCCACGGAGCAATGCGAGTCTTGTTTGGCTTGACGTTCAAACACTGTATCAGCCTTGCACGCGTGAAGGACAGCAGAAGATTGTCGAGAGTCTTCATGCGGATCCACAGGCTGCGGTGTCGGCTTGCATCTCTTAATCTTTATTGAACTCAAGGTCACCCGTGGTGGGGACTCGACGGCCGTGTCATGAACTGGTTGCAAGAAGGCTGATGGTTCTTGGGAGGGTTTTGATTGATGGGAAGGGTCGATTCGAGGAGGCCGGTTTGGCAAATCGGCAATTCTCCGATGGGCGCGAGGCAAGCTGCGTTGAGCGTCATCTTCTAGGGACTTGCGCCTCGAGCCTTTTTGGCGTTCCTCAAGGGCTCGGGCGGCTTGACCCGGTCTGATAGGAACGCTATATAAAGGCTTTTCACCTCTTACAAGTCTTTCCATCCGAAAGACTTCGCATGTATAGGATGTCTCGCCTGAGGGATCATTGACTTTGCCGGCATGAGTCACCTCGTACAAGCCGTCATAACGATAACCATACTGCGGTGCCCATGGAGAACGACGTGAGCCGGAACCTCCTCGGACGACTCGGACTGGAAGGCAGCTTCGAAGTGACTTGTATAGCGCTCTGTTTTGGGTCTCATTCGGGTCTTGGTTGTGCTGCATGATGCGCTTGATCATACGCTTTGTTCCGGGACGTGTATATCCACCATTCCCCATGTACCTGATGGCAATGCCAATACTCAGTTTCAAAAAAAAAAAAGTCTATGATTCCAAAGAAAGGAAGATCAACTTGGTTTTCCTTAAGCGTTTGACAACTCACCAAATGATATCACCGCAGTCGATATCGTGGTCAGCATTGTTTAAAATCATGCTGTAGGCTCCGCCTGCGTTGTGTGAGCCCGAGATGCCACTCTGGAGCGGGGTGTGAACACCGGCCCGGGTCACATGCGCTCTCTTTCGCCATGTTTGGCCGGGATTGACACCCTCGATGTGGCCGAACCACGGCATATTTCTGTGGGTATTGAGTGCTCGAGGTTGGTGACTTGAATATGTTCTGGATCTGGCAGAAAGACAATGGTGACTTGATCTGGATGGAATTGTAGGCGAAGAAGGAGCTCGGTTTTTCCTGGCTTGAGAGGTTGGCCAATAATATTGTGTGTTCCAACCTGGCTGCAATGAGGACATCTTTTTATAGTTTTTGGAGTGAGCTGGGTGATGATGATAACAGGTACGATAAGACTATGATTGGGCCTCAAAACGTATCAATGGCAGCTTTTGAGCTTTCCACTCTCTCAACTTTCCATCGGGAACTCATCACCCATCAGGTGTTTCCTCAGGAAAATCAACATGAGATGTCGAGTTCACTGCTTACTGATCTTGAGCTTGTGATTGACTCTCTGAGCTGAATGCACCCGGCGCTTACATTGTTGAGGAGAGGGAGAACTAAGGATGTGAGACTGAGCATAAAATGCCAAAGAGTTGAAAGGGTGTTGCGTGAGGAATGCAAGGGTGGATAGGGCAGCTGAAGATAATTAGCAATTTATGTTGAAACTGAGACATAGAAAATCGAGGCAATGGTCATCCTCACAAGGCCAATCTGCTTGGAAGACCACTGGAGCGAGTCAATAAGGTATGTAGAGACTACCCCTCCCTGTATTGCAAGGCCATCCATGGCTCTACATACTCCCAAGTTGTCCGTCTTCCACTCGGCTTCAGACTGTGGTACATTATAACCGTCCTGTGGAACCTATGTAGCCAAATATATTTCTTATCAGGTGCAGTACATTGCGCTCAGCCCTCATTAACCTCATTCGGGCCTGCATATTACTTGTTCAATTCGTTTGGGACATACATATAGGGACATATCCAAAAAAAAGGGCATTCGATAAAAAATAAGATGGGATACGTCATTTGATGGATGTCATTGTCATGGATAAGGTGGCTATCATAACCACCTGACGAACGAGAGAAACATGCAAAAACACACAGGAGAGATTTTTTGGGCGGCGATTTCTGGCTCAGAAATCAGCCAAGGAACATAACCTGAAGTGCGTAAATTTTGACAACAACAAGGTCCGAACTACATCGTCACCAAAGTACTGATACAAATATCTGTCTTCTTATATTTTTTGAAGTAGGGGCAACAATACATGAGAGCTCGAAAAAAAAAAAAAGGAAAGATAAAGACGACGACGGTCGTGAGTCATGGGGAGAACAAACGGGCCAGGACAGAGCGAGTAAAGCTGCAGCATGAGCAGAAGAAAGAAGAGTGCTATCAGACGAGAAGAGGGACGAAAGGAAGCGGAGAGCCGAGGCCGATCTAAGCTTGAGAAGCCCCAGAGGCCAAGATTTTTTATTTTTTTGATTTATAAGTCTATCTTAAGACCATCATCAGGATTAGCTTTGCGAGTTTTTGAATGAGCCGAGCCAGAGCAATTAAAGGTAGAGCCAAACTGGGGAAGAGAATGGATGCGAGGACACGCCACTCCGAGCCCGCCGAAGCCGAGGAAGAAGAGCGGGTCGGGCCGGCCGAGGGGACGCGGTAGGCCGACCAAGCCCGCCCGACTTTCGCGCGGATGGCCGGCTTTGTAGACCTCCCAATCGCCGAAACTCGTCGAGATGCTCTCCAAATCGCATCCCTTTTTTTTCCCAAAGAATCCTCGTCAGATTTATAAGGGTGATGATCATCAGGATCACGGTCAGTGCGGGAAATTCTTGCGGACTAGGATTGGTTCTACATACGTAGCTTCAAAAAGCCCTATTTATATGCATGCAGATCATAGAAATTACTGTTCTCACTCACCTCGTCCAATCTCATCGCGAAGTTAGACCCCATCTTCCGGAGCAAATCATACATCATGTATCCGAATGTGCCCTGAGTTCAAGGAGTCTCTATTAGCTCAGCAAGAAGTGAGATATACCAAGTGGATGACGGGGAGGGGGAGGCTTACAAAGATCAGGGATTTGGGCAGGTCGACGAAGGAGGGATACATGATCTGGAGAGCTCCAAAGGGAAGATAGAGTCGATCTTCCACGATCATTCTAGTCCACACCCCGACCGTTTGATCAGTTCCATCTTAATCATCATCCTCATCTGAAGAGAGAAGAAAATTAATCTGAGCGGGCTCACGGTTGGGTGTCCAAGACGTTCCAACGAAGCCTCCGTTCAGAGAACTCCCGGCGGGTCTTGATCCTCTCCAAGCCGTACACCGTTTGCACCCAACTGTCGCTCCTGATAGCCGAGAGTTCTGTGTGCTGGTCCGACTCAGTCGGCGGGCCTTCGATCGTCCGCGGCTGATGCAACAGAAAAACGAAAAAATTGGTGATCTTGCTGTCTCATCATATTGCTGATCACTTTTCTTTTGGATATTTTCTGGCTTGAGTCGGTTACAAGCTCACTAATTTTGAATGGATAGCACGCTTGGACATGGAATCTAGGATGAACCGCGCCGAGCGTAAGTGCGCATGGAGATTGCTTAGTTGGTCCGGTGTGTTCAGGAACAGGTGTTGCAGAAGACTGGGCCCGAATGCCAGTTTGGTTTCCTGTTGACAATTCTGTCTACGCATCTACATTTCGCAAAGGAAAAAAAAAAAAAAAAAAAAACCATGTAAGAGAAGACATTGATGAATGTGTGTTGGGAATGACGATGGGACCTTGCGACGGTGGATAGACTGACGGAAAGGACGACGACCCAATGGAAGTAAGATTCGAGCCCGATCTCAGACTGTTCCGCAATAGCTCTGTCAATGTAATTTGAAATGAAGAGAGAGAGAGAGAGAGGAGTCAGTAGGCTGAAATCGTAATGGGGATCATGATCCGGCTGACCTTGCAATATGGGCGAAGTAGTTGAGTCCATGGACAGTCAGCAGGCCAAGAGGCTGGGCCGGATCGAGTGCAGAATAGAAGTCTTTCCAGCGGATCCAGCAGGGCAAGGAGGGGGAGGGACAGGACAACGCTTGGAGCTGATCGACGGTCAGTCGGTCAGACTCGCCGGGCTCCTGATCAGCGGCGAGTCTGGAGAGGGTAGCCACGAATCTCTGGACACTCCGGACTCGCTGGGAGACTTGGTTGGCGGGGTAGATGGCTTCGAAAGCCTCCGCGAGTCCTTCGACGGAAATCGTCTGGGGCACCACTCTCGATCGGCCGCTCGTGACCGTTATCTTGAAGAGGGCCGGCAGCGAGGCCGCGTGCAGGTAGGCCAGCACGGCCCCAATCCTGTTCGCCTCTGAGCCCGTCTTCCGCATCCACAGCCTCGTGACCTCGTCCAAAAGGATCGAATATTCTGAATACGTCGGTCGACTGCCTTCTCTCTCGCATAAGGACTTGAACGCCTGGATCTTGCGCAGCGTCGGGTTGGGGCTCGTCGGCCCCGAGAGAACGTGCTCGATCGTCGAGTCAACCCTCGCCGAGATCATCTCTCTTGCGGCCGGCCTGAGTCCAGCGGCTTGAATTCGGTGTGCAGACATCTTTTCAGCACATACTCATTAAAGAGTCGATTTGCAGATCGAAAGACTGACTGGAGAACTTGGCAAAATCCTCACAGGGATCGACGCTCAACTGGGTCGTCCGTCTCAGCTCTGCTGCCGCATCGACACATGGACCACTAGCACAGACCTGGCGATACAGATTTGAGAGAAAACATGATGAACACAAGTCAGTGATGAGATAATCGAGTTCACGGTTATTAATCAGTTGGCGGGAAGAGCGCTCACGTTGTTGGGGTTTTTGGGAGGTGAAGGGGCATTAGTAGGGGATAAGAAGACCGTAGTTGTGACGATCTTGACGGGCGGATGACCATTATCGGGGGGGTGGGCTCTATGGAACTTGACCAGCTCCCCGGCAAACAATCCGAAGCCGATGGATGCCGCACAGAGAGAGAAGAAGGCGAGGATGGCGAGCCGGAGCTCGACGGAGGTCGGCTTGCGCTCGAGGATCCTGGCGTGTCCGGCCAACAGGGCTTCTCGTTCGGGATCATCGCCGCCACCATACAGCTCGACCTCGGCTTCGTCGACGGGCTCGTTGGGGGGCTGCTCTGGGCTTCCAGACAGGGATGGGTCTTGTTGGTCAGGCGATGGCATGAGGGAGTCGGCCTTGTCTTAGACTATCAGTTGATGATTGGATGTTTGGCGGGCACAAGGATATCAATCCCCACTGAAATTCAGTTTGGGTGACTCTGCAGGGGATGAAGATGATTGCCCCAGCATGGTCATGGTGTGCTCTCACACTCACTATGGGCTGTCAACTACCCTAAACAAGATCACACATTCACCATCTCCTCAGACAAAATACACAATCTAATATGTATCACTGTTTGCCAAAACAGTTTTCTCTGATCATTTGAACAAGAAGCTGAGACTTTTTACTCACTCAACTGCATAACATGAAACAAATACAAAATGAAATTGGTGATCAGATTTTTCACATATTTGTGGAGGAAAAGGATTGTAGCTGAACTTATATAGGAGTTGGAGGAAATCCTTCTCATGGGAAGCTATAACAAAATTCTTTTAATGGGAGTGGATGGCAGAAAAATGAAGATTCTCATAAGAGGGAAATGGCTAAATTAAACTCAGTCCTGTCAGTCATCTTCAGTCTTCAGAAAAACCAGTTTGTTGGAACACCTGTAACATACTACTATGTAGCTGTCTCAGCAAGGCGTCCACAAAACATGGTAACCAGGTTCAACTCAAAGTGACCTATGTCCACAGGCTGGCTTTGAGCTCTGTTGATCATGTCAGCAAAGTCCATCAGGCTGAGGATTTTGGATCATCCATTGACAGGAGGCTGTGTCCAGCCATTGCCAACATGGAAGAAAAAATTGAGCTTTTCAAATGGACCATTGTTGTTGAGGATGGACAGAGCCACTGATAATGGTGGTTACCGTTTCATCTATTCTGTTCATCCCTGGTATTTGTGACTTACTGGATATAAAAGATTGGGAGGGTTTCATCCTAAACATTTAGGGAAGTCCTGTTGTTGAAATTTTTCTTATTGGGAAATTCTGAAATGGGGCTGACAAGCTATGAGAACTGGCCCCATAAAATTAAGACTTGTATTTGTTGTACTCCAGGGAAACTGCTTGATCAAATTGAGTCAATTTCTTCCAAACTAAGTTGTAAGCACCTCTTAAGAATAAATGAATCGGCCTTCTCAAAAAATGTTGATCAGACTTGTGACATGTCCTCAATGTCAAAATCTGGTCCATCAAAAGTTTAAATTGAAACATACATTTCTGAATTGAAGTTTGGATCTTTTCTGACTTGATAGGAATAGATGATTCAAGTTTATCTTGCAAAAGATCTTGGGCAGCATCAGAACCAGGACTTTTGAATTTGATCAAGAATTCTCTCTCCTCTTCACTCAATCTATTCAAGTGTGAAATTTGTCTGTTTTCATTGAATTTGAAGTCACTTAAATATGTTGAGCTTCTGCATAAATCTACAATTTTAGTTGGTATTTTTTCTTTGACTCCATTGGTCTCTTCACTTATTTGATGGAGAACTTCTTTTGATCAGATGGGAGTAGAGTGGAATAGACTTGCTATCAAACCAATTATTGCATCAAAGCTCCTCATGAAATATTGATCTTTTTCTGGAAGATTTTCCATGAGATTGACTGGCAAAAGATATGCATGATATCTCAAGACAAACATTTCCATCTCATGTAAAATTTTCAACTCCAGAAGCTTCTCATCAGACATGGATAATTCCTCATAAGAAATTATCTGTGACTTGATGTAATCAACTAATTCAATGAATAGAGGTTCTATTTTGGATGTTGAATTGTTTTTCCTTGCATCAGCTGATCCCAATTCAAGGAAGTCTATCTTAATTTTTATGAATATTTCTGATTTGAACCTTATATTTTCCAGATACCTTCCCAGGCAAACCTCCACATATTGAAATTCAATCTTTTTACAAGTCTCAGCTAGATCCAAGCAAGCTGAGTTTCTGATTGAAGTTTACATATGCAGCACTAACATCATCTGGGTTGAATTTACTTTTGACATAGTTCAAAATTATATTTTGGCCTTGATTTTCTTTGTTCAAGAATTGGGAGAGATGTACAGTATCCTCCCAGATGTTTATGTCTGGGGGTAAACCTGTCACAGGTCCGCTTGAGCCCGCGCGGCGACTGACTCTCTGTACATATCTCCTCAAGTCCAAAGAACCAGCAGCTCGACAAGAACATCCCGATGCCCCTGGCCAAACCGATCCGAGCGAACCAAAGAAAACAACATGCCGCAAACGCACGAGACCGGGTTGTCAAGCTCAAGGGGGACATCTTCCAATCGACCACCATCCTCTGCGAATTCTTGATCTTCTTGTCGGTCACTTTCATGCCTGCACTGGAACCCGATCGATGTGACCTTGTCCCACGACCGACTCGCTCTGGAGGCTTTGAATCTAGCAAAACCTCGCCCAGGCGCATCAACCTCGTCCCAGCTTGACGACCGACTTGCTTTGAATCCAGCGGTAGCCAGCCTCTGGTGGGCCAATAAAACATTAATTTTTAATATTAATTTTTCATTTTTTTAAATTTTTTATTTGATAATCATTATCTCCTGCATCTCAGCTAAACTCTCCATGTTTTGTTTTATTTTAAAAAAAATTATTAAAGAAAAAAAAAATCAATTTTGCTTTTATTTTTTTAAAATGTCAAGCAATGACTTTTCCTATTCTGTTGTTTCATACTCTTTTTTATCATCTCCCTATCTACCACTCCCCAAAAAATGGGAAATAAAGAATGAGTATATATTTTTTAAATTAAGTAATCCATCTGCCATAAACATCTGGGAGGAGACTGTACATGCAGAATGATCACATGCTTTTGTATTTTGACAAAAACATTCATGATCAGATCTAACCATTGATGAATCCTAAAACTTGCTTCCATGACATCTGGGCTTCTGGATATCCATTGGGGCTTGGAAAAACGACTCCTAAAAATTAGTCGACGACTCCCATTTTGGTCGGGAGGTCGTCGGACAGGAGTCGTTCTTCCAATTCCCCCCAACAAAAGGGGAGTCGTCGTCCTAATTTCAATGGTGATTTTTTAATTTTTTTAATTAAAAAAATGGGAGTCGCCCGCCTAAAGGGCGGGAGTCGTTGTACCAATTTAGCCAAATATTTTTTATTTTTTTTCATTAAAAAAATTGGGAGTCGTCCGCCTAAAGGGCGGGAGTCGTCGTACCAATTTAGCCAAATATTTTTTATTTTTTTTCATTAAAAAAATTGGGAGTCGTCCAACTAAAGGGCGGGAGTCGGCGCCCCAATTCAATATTTTAACCTTTTTTCTGCATTAAAAAAACGGGAGTCGTCCAACTCAAAACAGGAGTTGTCGACCTCTAGCGACCCTAAAAACTCAAAAAAAAAGTTCAGCCACTGGGGCCCCGCCCCAAAGGCACTTTATCAATGATTAAAAATTAGATTCATTGAGAAAAACAAATTCAAGAAATAATTGAAATAAATTGATGAGATGTTGAGAAATGTAAACAAAAAAACAATGAGAAATGTAAGAAAAAAACAGGGATAAAAGAATTCAATTGATGAGAAATATAAGAAACAAACACAGGGTAAAAAAGGACAGAGGAAAAAAAAATAAAAACTAAAAAAAGACACAGGCAGAAAAAAAACTAGTAGTGGGTCATTGGATTTTGAATCTTCCTCCCTACAGTCAATGGGTGTGGAGCGGCGACTCCTGCGTGGGAGAAGAAACAAGGTTTCTTCTCCCCAGACGACTCCTAGGTATTTTCCAACGACTCCTGCGAGACGAAAAAAAAGTCCAGTGGACGATTGGGCCATCGACTCCCTTTCCGTCTTGGGTAATTGGCCTGACAACTCCCGAGGAAAAAAAAAATATCAAAAAAATTAAAGATCAAATTTGGGAGGCCGACTCCCGCCCTTTAGGCGGACGACTCCCAATTTTTTTAATGAAAAAAAATAAAAAATATTTGGCTAAATTGGTACGACGACTCCCGCCCTTTAGGCGGGCAACTCCCATTTTTTTAATAAAAAAAATTAAAAAATTGCCATTGAAATTAGGACGACGACTCCCCTTTTTTTTGGGGGAATTGGAAGAACGACTCCCGTCCGACGACCTCCCGACCAAAACGGGAGTCGTCGACTAATTTTTAGGAGTCGTTTTTCCAAGCCCCTATCCATTTTCCTCTTGCCTCCCCAACACATGCGCTTAGTGAAGTGACAGACCATCTGTATGTCCCTCTACTATGTGTGGGTCTGGGAAAAAGAGGTATCAAGACTCTTATTGGATATGTCTCAGTGAGAGGTCAGACTGCAGACGCTCTCTCAAGTCTATTGTGCAGAGGAGACTGCTACACCACGGCTTGATATTTATTTGAGCTTGCGTCAGCTAGACCCCACATTTGAATTTAAGTTGGTGCAGGTCAGCACCAACCTGCATGCCCATAAATCTTCTGCGCAGAGGACCCAACAGAAACACTGGGTCTGGCCCAAACCATCCCTAACCCAAATGCCTCAATGGAGAAGCCAACCCCTCCCAACCTAGCTCTTATTGGCAGGGTTGGCTTGACTTGAGTCATCCAAGGGCGCAACAGCTACTCTAGCTGACCAAGTTTGGCTCCTCCAACAAGGGCTGATGGTTGGGCTGCCATCAACTCTAGGTGGTCATTGCTGCCCTCCTCTTCATTCCGTGGCTCACTCAAGAGCTATTGTCACCAAGTGGGCACACAACCAACAACCAACTCGCACAACAAAATGACACCCAATCAGAAATTGTTACACACACCAGAGATTGAGATCCCACCGGTTCCTGAAGCTTTTTTGGAACCCGGTTCACTTCATCAATCCAAATCCAGAGACTATTAGAGATGGGCGCATTGAATCCGGATATCCGCGCGTATGTGGATATCCGCTCACGATTTCAGCGGAAACACACATCCGCATCCGCATCTGCCGGCGGATACCCGCTGATACCCGCCCTCTGAATGGGCGGCGAGGCTCTTCCAGGAGTGTTTGTTTTTAAAAAAAAGAAAAAAAAAGAAAAAAAAAGAAAAAAAAACCAGCCCCCTCGGCCTAAAGGGGCAGAGGCCAC